AAAAAAACATCTTTATCTCAAAACAAAAATGCAACACCAAATAATTATAGCAAATATCCAATAAAATAAAATACCTGACTACTACCCACAAAATGAAAATCACTTTCATTGATCCAATAGCTAAATAATTCACAAATTTGACTTAAAATTCCCTTTATTGCTCTTCAATCAATATTTACAAATGTTTCGAATATCTAATTTTGCATTTTACCTACTACGAACATGTTTTAATTTTAATCCAATTTGCAACAATAAAATTAAAATTTCATGTGATAAAAACAATGCACATATACATGTCTATTACTACATACTGTTGTTTGCTATTTAAACAAAATTAAAGATTTGAATATATTTATTATATATTTAAAAACAAAAATAATCGAGATGAATTAAAATTTAAAAATCTAAATGAGATTTTCTCCTATGCTTTTAGTCTTTCTTACGGAATAAATTTGAATCAAAATAAAATATATATAACATACTTTTATATAAAGTAAAATTTACGGTTTAGTATAATTTACACACTTTTATATAAAATAGCATTAAACTCGAACCGGTGTAGTCGAGATAAAAAAAAACCTAAAAACGTCACAAACACGAAATCACATAAAAAGATATAAAAAGCAAAAAGACACTGTTAAAACCAAAGGCATAAAGGGTTCCACAACGCATGATAATGAGTTGATTGTTGAATTTCAAATTGAAAGAATCAAAACCGCATGTTATTTTTTCTACAAAATATCTCAACGGAAGTGATATTTTTCTAATTCACTATTCAGCTACAATGTTAAAATAAATCACATTCCTCCCTTCTGATCCAATTTTTTCAAATCTTGATTGAGATTAGTTTAGAAAAATGTTGCTGTTAAAAGTTCTTACCAAATGACAACATTTTGACAATGGTATAAGTGGCAGTTTTTGTTAAAAGGATGTTAACTTTTAGTTATTACCATGTCATAATCCTTTATTTTTTACCTAAATTAGAACTTTGAGAAAGAAAACCACGGAACAAGTTAATTGTAAGCAAAACTGCAATAACAAGGATCAGTTCTTGCTCCCTTCCCCTTTTTGACTATAAATATATTGTTCTTTCATAGAAGATAGAACACAAATATTCGTCACCCTGTGCGAGTCACTACAATCCAACTGCAAAAGNAAATCACATTCCTCCCTTCTGATCCAATTTTTTCAAATCTTGATTGAGATTAGTTTAGAAAAATGTTGCTGTTAAAAGTTCTTACCAAATGACAACATTTTGACAATGGTATAAGTGGCAGTTTTTGTTAAAAGGATGTTAACTTTTAGTTATTACCATGTCATAATCCTTTATTTTTTACCTAAATTAGAACTTTGAGAAAGAAAACCACGGAACAAGTTAATTGTAAGCAAAACTGCAATAACAAGGATCAGTTCTTGCTCCCTTTCCCTTTTTGACTATAAATATATTGTTCTTTCATAGAAGATAGAACACAAATATTCGTCACCCTGTGCGAGTCACTACAATCCAACTGCAAAAGTCTTAAAAAGTCAGCGGCGACAATTTGATTTCCTACCTCAAATTCTGTCACTACACATGGCAATTTTTGCAGCTGTGTTGTTGTGGCATGTCATTGCCTTGCTGGTTGTGGCGAATTTGGGGTATTCTTCAAACCTTGATGCCCAAAAACTCAACGCAGAGGTTATCTATGCCCGAAATGGAGCTGTTGCCACTGATGACCGTCGGTGCTCAAGGATCGGCAAGGATATTCTCAGAGAAGGAGGGCATGCTGCGGACGCTGCAGTGGCTGCTGCCCTTTGTTTGGGGGTTGTCAGTCCTGCCTCCAGTGGCCTTGGCGGAGGAGCCTTTATGCTTCTCAGGCAGGCTAATGGGGTGTCCAAGGCCATTGATATGAGAGAAACTGCTCCTTCTCTTGCTTCTAAGGTACCACCTACCTTCCTATCTCCAACCATTCCCGTTATTATACTTTCAATTCATGAATTTTTGCACGACTGAGACTCAGGACAAAGAAAAATAGAGAAAACTGAAAATGTCTCAATTTTTTGTTTTTGTTTATTTCAATTCCTTTCATCTCTTAATAAATAACCTTGTTTTGATTTTGAGAGATGCAAGTTTTACAAATGTATCTTTTCACATTGAGGGTTAATTCTTGAGACTGGTTTTAAGCATTCAAACATGGCTAGAATTCCGTGTGGATGATTATGCAATGCTTAAGCAATTAAAAACAACTACTGAGATGTATTTGTATATCCATTTTTTCAGGATATGTATGGTGGAAATACTACTTTGAAGGCCAAAGGAGGCCTCTCTGTTGCAGTTCCTGGAGAACTTGCTGGCCTTCACGTGGCGTGGAAACAATATGGGAAACTTCCATGGAAAAGGCTTGTAAATCCAGCTGAGAAACTAGCGCGTGGGTTTAAAATATCGGCATACCTGCACATGCAGATGAAGGCAACAGAGTCAGATATATTGCAAGACAAGGGTCTTCGTAGCATATTTGCACCAAATGGAAAACTCTTGAACATAGGTGACATGTGCTACAATAAGAAGCTAGCCGACACTCTCAGAGCGATATCTGTGTTTGGTCCGAAAGCCTTCTATGATGGATGGATTGGTCATAATTTAGTTAAGGATGTTCAGAATGCTGGAGGGATATTGACTACGAAAGATCTCAAAAATTACACTGTTAAACAGAAGAAACCTTTATCTACAAATGTTCTTGGACTAAATCTCCTTGCCATGCCTCCACCATCAGGTGGACCTCCAATGATACTAGTAAGTCTATCTGCTTCACTGCACTGGTGTTCTTGTTAATAGTCTTTTCCTTTTCTTTTTCTTTATATCTATCACATCATTAGAAAAATAAAGGATTTAGCCAATTTTATCTTTTTGTTTCAGCTGCTGAACATTCTAGATCAATATAAAATCCCTTCTGGCATTTCTGGTGCCCTAGGGGTCCATCGTGAAATTGAAGCTCTGAAACATGTATTTGCCGTGAGAATGAATCTTGGTGATCCTGATTTTGTTAATATTACAGAGGTTGTTTCTGATATGCTTTCTCGTAGGTTTGCTAAAGTGTTGAAAAATGACATCAATGATAATAAGACTTTTGACCCCAGTCATTACGGTGGCAAGTAAGTTCCTGAGTTCCTTGAATTTACTCTAATGTTCACAAAAGGTTTCATTCATGCCTGTGCTAGTTAACGAGATTCTTCAGATTCTATGTTTGTCTTCTACCTCATACACTAGGAACATTCAGCTTTACGTATGAATGACAGAAAAAAATACAGCAACCGTTGACAAATATTGCATCATAACATGCGCGGCTCCACAAACTTGATTTGAAAGATTCAATGATGTCAATTTAGTGATCAATTGGTTGACTTTAGTTGTTATAGCCTATAGGCATGTAGTCAACTTGATCGAGCAAGTGTTTATAATTGTTTATAAAGGTTGACTTTAGGCATTTGACCAACTTGACCAATCTCTTCATGCATATCTAGAATTGTATTTCTTTTTATTTCGTTAAAATATTTATTTAGAAGCTCTGTTATGTTGTTTCTCTAAATTTTTATATTTAACTTTACATACGTTGATTTTAATTTATAGAAAAGCTAATTTCACTTGGTTTCTTTTATTTTTCTTTCTTAAAAGCAGCTTATGGAGAAACTCATCCATATGACAACTATTTCTAATTTAGTTCTTGCTTAACAGTAGCTCCATGTCAATCTCCTTTTTTGCATGTGACAGCTAATTGGTGTGGTTCCATATAATAGACTTTAAAGTAGAGAAGAGGGTGTTCCTTAGAACTAGAGTCACTGTGATTGATTAAGTGAATTAAGATTATGATACAAAAGGGAGTCTACAATGCATGTATTTATAACCTTCTAGGTTCATATGGCTACAATAGCAGACATTGAGAGATGATGCATCTATGTGCTACAATGTTTACAACAGAATAATTGGCAAGGCTTATTCACAGTTAGAACTGCAAATGCCATTTAACAGCCAAGTGAAGTAATGCATTCAATCTTCACAAACCAGCATATAGTAGAAGCCTCACATGACATTCTGTGTTATGACATTATGTGTGGTCACTAGATTGAATATGTACATAAGTCCAAATAAATAATGTAAAAAATAATATTCTAACTAAAATTATTTGTGTCATATGGATTTCTCAGTTTTGCTTAACTGTCTTTTCAGGTGGAATCAAATTCATGATCATGGTACAAGTCATTTATGTGTAATAGATCTTGAGAGAAATGCCATTTCCATGACTACTACTGTAAATTCATATTTTGGTTCAAAGATCCTTTCACCAAGTACTGGAATAGTACTGAACAATGAGATGGATGATTTTTCCATGCCTAGAAATGTTTCCAAGGATACCCCACCACCAGCTCCTGCCAATTTCATCGTGCCAGGAAAGCGGCCACTATCATCCATGTCACCAACTATTGCCCTCAAGGTAACCAATCCTTTAACTAGATTTGTTTCTCATAAATTTGGTATCCTTTTCCGCATTATTATCATCTATGTCATCCACTACTGCCCAATTTCAGCCTCATCAATGGTTCTGAAATCTTTCATTATTACTAGTTAAGGTACTCATTGTTCTCTTGCAATGATTTCTTACCATGTCCATACAGAATGGGAAGCTAAAAGCTGTAGTAGGTGCAAGTGGAGGTGCTTACATTATTGGTGGAACTTCAGAGGTTCTTTTGAATCACTTCGGTAAAGGATTGGATCCTTTTTCTTCTGTAACGGCTCCAAGGGTCTATCATCAGGTATCTTAAACTTTTAAATTGTTTCCCCTTACTCTGATTGATAAGCTCTGGTATGCACAAACTGATATAAACTACTTTTCTATAAAACAACAGGAAATTAGTTTAAACTGTTTACATATTTAAATCGTAAACTATTTCAATAAACTGTTCTGGAGAACATATTGAAATAACATGTTTACAAGACATTGATACTGTCTATGTTTTTTCTACTGTTTCTCTCATATTTTTCCATTTGTGATTTTGACTGCATACTTGTGAATTGGACTGAGAAACTCCCCATGCTTTATGCAGCTAATTCCTAATGTGGTTAACTATGAGAATTGGACAACTGTGAACGGTGACCACTTTGAACTTAGCGCTGATATCAGGAATGTCCTTAGAAGTAAGGGTCATGTCCTACAGGGCCTTGCCGGTGGGACTATTTGTCAATTTATTGTTATAGACGATTTTGTGTCATCAAGAAAAACTAAAGTGAATGGAAATGAAAGGCTTGTGGCAGTGAGTGATCCAAGAAAGGGTGGTCTTCCTGCAGGCTTTTGAGATAATTCATTGACATTGTGATATCTCTGTTTCATCTATGCAATCCTAGTTTGTCCTGTTCATGATTCTTCTATTGCTTTCTGTATTTCCATGATGGAAATAAAAGATCTACATAATTATACTACGGGTTATATCAGATCTCCACAACTTCCCCGTATGTTGGTTTGCACCTTCCTACTCCTGCAGTTAATTCCATCACTTTGTGATGAGTATGGATACCAACTACCAGATTTATCAATAAGTTGGAGTACATGCTGAGATAAGTTTTAAAAAATTGTAAATGGTTAACCACAGCAACTGGATTCTAAAGAAGAACAGAGTACGCACGAACACAGGATTTAATTATGTGACTAATAATACGCATAAAGAGATTACATTTTCAACATAAGCAATATCTCAAGAAACTATAATATGTAAACGTTCACTATTAAATACTATATCGCATCAGCATAGCTATGGTTCTCACTTCTTCAATAACATGGTTTCTTTTTCTAACACATTGTAAAGTAGTTAAGATAGTTTGATCCCATAACTTAAATCCATAAACACATCTCCAAACTTATATTTCGATATTTAGGACTGTAGGTTGCTGTTACGACAAGGTTCACTTGCTCATACAAGGATTTAAATTTTTTTAACAGACGTCCTTTCTTTAAAAGGATCTTATATTGTTATGAAAAGGTTAATCCTTTTCTACAAGAATCCAAAATTTCTTAACAGTTGCCACATAGCTGCAACGAACTTTTGTGTTGGGAAGTAATTTGATTGATTTTTAAGCTATAATTATAAACCTCACTTGTTTACCTCGATTACCTTTTATCCATATCAATAGCCAGGCTTGTTTTCTTGGATAAAAGGAGACCCCTCTTTAATATTTTAAGAAAATCATTCAAAGATGAGGACTATGGCTTTAGTTGGGCGATCAATTTCAATTGCACTTATCCTCATTACATGATATGTATGATTATACTATTGTATCAAATTAGAGTTCTTTTTATTATAAAATGCGATGAAGGATCATGGATGGTGTAATTATATGAAGCAAACAAGTGGAGAAGAAAAAGCAGTAGAACCGCACTATTCAGTCTACCTTTTTCTCTTTAGCCCTCAGCACAATCATGCAAAACATTACATATTCAGTAGACCACTACAAAGTTATTTAACATGGATTATTGTTAATTACATCACTTAAACAAATTTTAGCATAATATTTTTAAGAGTTAGCTAATCCAAGTAAACACTCAATTCACAAAGAAGATTCTATGTCAATTAATCATAAGGCCTGGCCATGAATATCCTTACAAAACAGATGAGTTTGAGTTTTTCAGCAAAGGTGCAGTGTTTACTAAATGTTGTTTATACATGGCTACAAATATTTGACACAAAAATGTTAATATTTGACAAGTATCAGGGTTCTAATATAAAAATTAAGAGAATTCTCTCTCAAAGAATGCAAATGCATATAATATGATTTAAAAATGTCTACAAATATATTTGTTGCCCCTGCAAAATAGCAGCTATGCATGAAAAATTCAGAGGTGATGAAGATTGGTTGTATAAAAGTAATAACATAGAAGCTTTCTTTTCCAAGATTTCTTCCAAACATAGAAACTGTTTACTCCTATAAATTGAGGAGCTCGGTGTTCTAGTTGGTAAAGGAGGAATGCATGGAAATGTTTTCAGGATTAAGACACCAATGTATTTCACCAAAAATGATGCAGGTACACATAATTCTTTCCTGGCTATTTAACCAAGTTGCAGACTCCAGATTCTTTGTTGAAGTCCACATGCCTCCTCATATGCAGATTTTGTTGTGGATGCAGAGGAAAGGAGTAGCATCTGTAGTTGACAGAACAAAGATACAACAAAACTGTATAAATACTCTTATTATAGAGCTTATTAGAGTCAACATCATTCTAACAAAACCAGTCACACTAACTGATATTTCTAATAAACTACTCTCGTCATCAGATAAAAAGTATGTCCACTAAGAGAGTCTAAAAGTAGATTAATTTTCAAAAGCAAACAACGTAACATTATATGAATTTTACATGACCAACTTCCACACAGGCTCATGGCATATTCTAAATATTTCATTCTGCAACAATCCAATATACACCATGCGTCCAAAATTAATTTATTTACAGACTGGTATGCATAAAATGAGCGAGCAGTCGTATTTACAACTTCTCCATAACGCAAAACTGCAGGAAAAATGTGAGCAACCTGGACCCTCACATGATGCACTGTTTTGATGCTCTTGGCCAAAGAAAGTGACCAACGTTGTTCATCATCGCATCACGTTCATGTTACAAGTTTTGGCTCTTGTAACCTGTTTGTGAGACTAAGCAGGTTCACGGGGTCTGTTAGACCAGAGTGAGCTCAAAGCCCTCAGGCGTTGGAAATATTCTCCCAAAGCAAGCAAGCATCGAGCAGCCTGACGGATTGTAAGTATTCGAGACATCTGCTGCAACGTTCCCTGCCGAAGATGGTCAGCCTGTTTCACACACAACATTGTTTTCCGTTTTTACTAGAATTTCTTTAGAATGAAAAGGAAAATTTTTTAAATTTAAAAAAACTGAGAACAAATGTCTGCGGAAACATTACCTGGTTCACAAAGCTCACCAGAGCTTCCAACTTCTCCATTGCACAAGTCATCTGTGGAATGTACGTTCCTTCCATGAACTGCCCGGCTGCTACACTATCAGCAAGAGTTTGCCGGAGTTTGTCCATACCTTGTGACAGAGCATCTTCTGCTTGTTGACATGATTGTCCAAGGTTATATATATCCAACTGTTGTTGCTCTGTGAGAAGCTCAATCAGGGGGCCAAGAACCTGCAATTAAAATTAAATGTCAGCAAGAACCATACTTACAACCATTCCCCCATTCTATCTCTCAAGAAGATAGAAGTTTTTAAAACCCAATAATAACGAGAAACTCCTCAAAACCAGTCACTGAAATTTAGAACTACACATTCTAGGAATGAAGCTTTATACATCTTGCATTTATTAAATATGAACCGTCACCTTTAGAAGCTCAGAGGGGCGAAAGCCTCCTATCCAAAGGAAAAATCTTTCGGCCGTTGTTTTCCACATACCAGACATGACATAGAACACATCCGCTTTTGCAGCAGCAGATTTCATGCGAAAGATTTCAGCGTAGTGGTTCATCATACCATCTACCAGAATCCTGAGCTCTATGTCACCGATATGAGCATTTAAAGCGGTTCTCAGTTCTGTTATTTGCCTATTTTGCTCGTTCACCCAGTGTCCGTACTCCATCTCGAATGTTGTAATTCCTGCAAATATGGTATTCTTAGAATACATGAACAGAGTGGAAAACAGATTGTAACACAAGAAGAAAGGATACTCATGCAAACTAGGAACAATATTACGCACCAACCATAACAAAATATGGTAATCTTGCATGGCAACACGAAAATTTCTGAACAATTCAGGAGTTGCAATGCCATAAAGTTACCAAAGTTTGTGTCTGCATAATTTGAGATGGTGGACACTGAAACAAGATTTTATAGTATTTAGATGTTCACTTAGAAAGAGATTTTGGCACATTTGGAGAGACTGATTTTACCAAAGAATAAAATTTTAAAAAATGAAAACATTAAATTACCAGTACAATATCAACATACAATAAGTATAATATTTTAAAAGGAGATATAGTGTGATATAAAAAATGATGACTAATTTGAGGTTTATGTATAATTTTTTTAAAAAATAAAAAAACTTGTCAGCGTAATTTATTCTGCAGGGAAAATATATAGTTGTAGTAGCATAATAACAAACCAACCTGAATTTACCGGTCCAGCAAAACCCAGATGATTAGAGTCCAACCCACCACCAATGTACATTCCCTGCAGTTTTGTTGCCTCAATATATCAAAAAGAAAGGGAAAGGAAGGAAGTCGATGATCAACATAATGTGATCCATTAGAGAAACTAAAAGTATATTAACTCATCTTCCCCACACCTGCTGTCTTGCACGTTCGAGTTCTTGCTCCAACTGCATCAACTTCAAACGACTTGATTCTAACTGCTGCACGTAAGCCTGTGGGGCAATATCATAAACCATACCAACATTAGTATATTTAAACTCTAATACCAAATATCACAATCCATCAATGTATAAACATGCAAACCTTTTTCCTCAAACGGCTCTTTCGAGCAGCCTCTCGATTTTGTGCAAGACGTCTTTGTATCTGCATGTTTCATCAATTAGCTTCCTATTTGTTTACACCGTATATGGGCATAAAAGAGAGTATGGACCCAAGCCAAATACAGATTCCTCAAAGTTCAAAATGGCAGGATTAAACTTTTCACTCCCACCCTAATCGTATCATCCACAAAATGTAAAACATTTAGTCCTAGACAAATGGCCCAATGAAAGAAATTTGAAATTGTATTGCTCAAAATCATCTGCATCTGCATTTGCAGGTAATTTGAGCTGACAAGTAGACACAGTTTAAAGTAACAAAACACCACCAAGAAATAACCCTTGTTTCTTTCCTTTTGTTTGGGGGAAAGAAGGGGCAAAAAAGCACGCTCTTACCTTATCAGTAGGTTTGTTTGCTTCTTGGTCATACTTATTAGGTGCTCCCAGTATTCCATGAGAAGCATCCTCTGACTAGGTATCAAACAGCACAAACAAATTTGGTTAGTTGACAGAACAAGCCTTCGTATTTGCCAAGGAAACAAAGCACAGATTTAGTAGTAGACTCGCACCTGACTATCTAACTTCATGTCTGTCTCGTCTATTAAAGGCATGGATGCACTTAAATTACCATTACTTTTGAAGCCTTCTCCCCACATACTAATCTGGTGGATTGGATCGTACACACTCATCCTTCTCGAGGAAACGAACTGTGGGGATGCTGAATTCATGCTCTCAGTATCGACCACTGCCACAAGTCAACAATAAGCATTCAGCATATGCCTATACAGGAAACTGCAGTCAAGACAAAAAAAAATGCATTAAAGATTATAAGCCAAACACAGTCACTTCAAAGATTAATACCCAGTTAATACTCTGTTAATCCTACATC